CATTTTGAGTATAATAGTAATTATTTAAGTAGTGATGAAAAGTTTTTTGATGATTTATTAGAATCTGATTATACACCAAATCTCTCAGAAGAGACTTCGAAAATATCTGTAGATTTTATAGATTATTAGTTTTTTGATAACTTAATTAATGTTGAAGAAGTGGTGCATGTAAATATAGAAAAAACTCTTTCAAACTTTCAGAAAGAGGAAAACAAAAGAAAAAATAAAAATTACAAAAAAATGAACTTGGATGAGTTAATCAGAATAGCTGATGAAACTCAAGTCTTAGGAGAAGACCCAATCAAATATTGGGATCAAAATAAATGCACAGCAAAGCTAGATATAATAAATCCTAAACTTAGAATTACTTGTGGCAAGATGGATCACAGTCCACTTGACAAGCAAGAATTTGAGGTTCAAATAAAAGAGCTTTTAGCCTTAGGAGTCATAAAGCATTCCAGTTCTAGACATTCCTCTGCAGCATTCATGGTAAGAAATCATGCAGAAATTAAACGAGGAAAGGCTAGGATGGTCATAAATTATAAAAGGCTATATGATAACACTTATGAAGATGCATATAGAATACCAGATAAAGACCAATTAATCAACTGCATTCAAAATTCAAAAATCTTTAGCAAGTTTGATAGTAAGTCTGGTTTCTGGGAGATCAAAATGGAAGAAGAATCCATTCCATGGACCGCCTTCACTTGTCCCGAAGGACATTTTGAGTGGCAAGTCATGCCGTTTGGATTAAAAAATGCACCTTCAATTTTCCAAAGAAAGATGGATCAGATATTCAAAAAATATTATGATTTCGTCTTAGTTTACATAGATGATATTCTAGTCTTCAGCAAAACTGAGACTGAGCATATCAAACACCTACAGGTTGTTTTCACTGAATTCCTGAAAAATGGCCTTATAATTTCTAAAAAGAAAATGGAACTCTCCAAAGAGTACATTGAATTTTTAGGAATGAGGATTGGACAGGGAAAAATTCAGTTGCAGGATCACATAGTTCAAAAGATTCTTGACTTTCCCGACAAAATCGAGGAAACTAAAGAACTTCAAAAATTCTTGGGTATACTCAATTATGCCCGAATGTATATAAAGGATCTGTCTAAATTGACTGGACCATTATATGCAAAATTTAGTCCCAAAGGACAAAAGTTTTTCAATAATGAGGACGTCAGACTTGTAAAAAGAATAAAAGATGAAGTTAAAAGGTTACCATCTCTAACTCTACCATTAGAATCAGACTACAAAATAGTCGAAACTGATAGTAGTAGTGAAGGATGGGGAGCAATTCTTTTAGTCAGACCAAAAGAATTCTCATCTCAAAAAGAAGAAAGGATTTGTAGATATTCTAGTGGTTTATACAAAGAAAGTAAAAAAATTTTAACCTTTCTTGATTTTGAAATTTTAGGAGTTATAAATGCTTTAAATTCTTTTAGACTTTTCATCCAAAATGATGTTTTTACAATTAGAACAAACTGTGAGGCAATTGTAAAATATTTTCAAAAGAAAAATGAAAAAAGTCTTTCTTCTAAAAGACGGATGAATTTTGTAAATATCATAACTGGAAATGGTTTTAAAGTAAAATTTGAGCATATTAAAAGTAAAGATAATTATCTGGCTGACTGGCTAAGTAGATGTATTCATTCTTCTCTTATGCAGGATCAGAATGAGACGCTCGACTTTAGGCAAAGCCAGCGATAGAGGCAACACCTCTAGAGCTAGGTCCTGTACAGAAGGTCTCAATTTGGATCTAGTTGCTGATAAACTTCTGAACAACATTCAGGAGAGCTTCGGCAATTTGAACCTTTTTGAGAATAATTTAAAAACTTTAGCCCAATATTTGAAAAAATATAATAAATTTAATTATTATGTTCTAATCAAGGGAAAAACCCCTGGAGTTTATAAGAAGTGGGATGAGATCTTGTTCCAAATACAAGATTTTAGAAAACCACTCTATAAAGGGTTTTATCTAATTGAAGAAGCTATCCAATTTGCTCAACAGTATCTTGGAGATAGCTTTTTCATTAGCCCTTATCTTTCTCCAGATTTGCAGGAACCTTCAGGAGAAATCGTGAAGACCACCTTAGCCCCACTGGCGGGTGGAAGACAATTAGTTCCCCCACTGGGAATTAATCAATATCTAATCGAAGGATCCTCTTCAACTTCTACATCTATTCCATTAGTGGATGACACTCAGCGGCAACTTAGGATGTATTTCAATCCACAAGTTCCCTTACCCGAGCTGCTAGATGATTCAAGATAGCTAATTTTTCAGAAAGCAGAAGCTTCAGGCCATGCTAAATTGAAGGCAATTCAACAATTCCTTCAACAGATAGCCCAAGATGGTATTAACCGATCTGGTATAGGCTTCACATGGGACACCTATTATTCTACTACAGAAGGAAGACTCAAAAGGTGTAATAGGTGTGAAGGAGAAACTGCAGATGGGATTCCACTTGATAGATATGACTGTCAATGTCAACTTGTCTATAGCATTTGCAGAGTTTCTCTAGATCTATCCTCCTATGAACCCATTCAGTTTTTATATAAAGGGGAAATCATTGAGTTAACTCCACAGTTACTCCTTGATTATGGTTTTT